GGGCGCTGGGGAAGCAGGCCTACGGCGGGGTCAGGAGCCCCGGCCGCTCAGCCTCAGCCCTTCCGCCGGCCTGTCCTGGGCCTCGCTCCCGGCACAATCGGCAGTCGGGCGCTGGGGGCCTGCCCCTGCCTGGCGTCTCCGGGCCGCCTCTCCCGTGTCCCCGCCCGCCTCCAACAGCCTGGCCCCGGAAGGGCTCTGTGCGAAAGGAACCCAGCCTTCCGTGGTTAGGCCGCAGGGCGTTTATTCCCGGTGGAACCGGCGAGCCGAAGAGAAAGGACGCGTCATCGGGCCCGGCTCGGAGCAGGTGGGAGAGGGTGGCTGGTCCAGCTCAACCGTGTGCTCCCAGCACTCGGGGAAGAGAGAGAGCCAGGCCAGCCACCCAAGCGTTCCCATGCACAGCCTGGTGAGTCCATGCCCCAGAAGGCAAAGCCACAGCAGAGAGGTTGAGCAACCCGCCCAAGGTCACACGGCGTGCCATGCTGTTTCTTCTCCCTCCTGGGCAGTCAGCCGGCGTTTGCCTGGATGTCTCCCCACCTGGAGGGCTGCTGCCTGGACGGCTTCCGCTCGGCCCCCTCTGGTACCTCACTCGGGCTCCAAAGACACCCCGGAGAGGGGCCCAGCCTGCCTTTCTCTGGCTCTCCCCCAGTCCAGCTCGGCGCTCCGGCCACATCACCAGAGGGCAAGCATCGGACGGGGAGGTGACGTGCCCGTTCTGGTCTGGGCCCCGTCTGAGCCTCCCCTGCAGGGGGCGCTCATGCTTGGGGGCGGCCTGTCGCGCCCCGAAAGGACCCAACGGCCCTTCTAGGGGGGTGTCTGGAAGGTCTTGGCGTGTCAGCGTGGGGACACGACGGCTGGGTTGAGCGCCTGAGGGTGACGTTTGAAGAGGAGGAGGTTGGGCTCTGCGGGTGCCATTGACCACGTCCATGACCTTGGGCGGGTTCGTCTCCCCTCGGTGCCTCAGTTTCCTCGGCTTCAAAATGGGGACAGTAAGACTGGCCTTTTGCCGTTGGTGTTGATTGAGTGATGGTTTGGGCAGGTGCCCAGCACACTGTAGAAGCTTCACACACATACACACGCGTGCGCACACACACAACACACACGCACACACACTCATGGCCCCACTCCCACAAGGCAGACAATTTTCTGTTTTACAGACACAGCCCAGCGCCTTCACGGGCTCGACTGGGGCCTCCCTGGGTCCCCCCGAGCCTCCCTCTGTGCCGGTGGTCACTGCCTCCTGTCCTCCGTGAGGCAGACTGAGAGGGGGCAGGATGGCACCCACATCTTCCTGCCCCACGATCCCGACCATGGCTGATGGCCCTTGGGGCAGGTGACGCCCCGCGGCCCCCTCCAGCCCGGCCCCTGTTCTGGACTAACCGCCCCTCCTGCCTCTCCCTCCCGCACGGGAGCCGGAGGGCCCGCAAGCTGTTTGTCTCTCCGAGGACTGGGGAAGCGGGGCCCGTCGGGGCCGCGGCTGATGACGGCCCACCCGGGACGGGGAGACCTCCAGCCGCTCCTCAGATGCAGTTTCCGACAGACGGGGCCCGCGGGCCTGGACAGTGGCCTTGGCTCCGGGCGCCTGTGGCTGGATGGGTGTCCTGCTTGTCATCTGCCCCGATGTGCCCCCATGGCCGCCCTCTCTGCTGAGGGTGTCGGGACCCTGGGGAGTTTCTTTCCAGCCCAGCCTGACGGGCTGGCTATCTGGACGGGCGGGGGGGTCTCGCCACTCGGGGACGCTCTCTAGGGGGAAACCTCCATCTCCTGCCAGCACCTCACCCAGTGCACATCGGGGTCTCCATTCTTGCGTGCTGTGTTTTACGAGAATGTTGGCAGCCGCTGATGTGTTCGGGCCCCACTGCACGTTGGACACGCACTGACCTGTGTCTCCTCCCCTCCTCCTCACCAAGCCTCATGAGGAACGGGTGACGGTTATTCCCATTTCACAGGTGGGTTATTCCCATTTCACGAAGCCAGGGCTGGCATGGGCTCTGTGGCCAACACTCTCCCGGCATCTCCAGCAGCACCAGGCGCCTAATAGGTGCTCAATAAACGGGCACCGGAGGAAGGCAGTACACAGGCGCATTCTTGAAGGGCTGGCCTCTCTGTCCTGCTGTGAGAGGACATGCTACCATCCGTAGAGCCGGGTCCAGAGTGCCCGTCTGAGCTGAACTCAGCCCCGGACTCATCCAGTGACCTTGGCTTGTCAAGGGAGCCGCCAAGGGCGACACAGCCTCGGCCCACCTCCGAGGACGCGGCACCAGAGCTGGGGGCTGGTGGCCCTGGAGCTGTGAGGCTTTGCGTGAAGACGTGGCCAGCACTGGTCCCGCCTGACCTCAGCCACCTCTGCCAGCTGCAGAGTCCCCCGCCAGGGAGGTCTCAGCGGAGAGGAGATAATTAGCCCCCTCTGTGCTGTGAGAAATATCTGCCACCCAGTGAATTCAGAGTCTCAGGAAGGAAAGGCCGAAGGAGCTGATTTCCCAGTTAACAAGGAAAAAAGGGGTCAAGCCACCGCGAGGGCGGGGCCGGGAGTCCGCGACAGCCTGGCGGGGCCCTGGGACCCCCCATTCCATGCCGAGCCCAGAGTCCGGGGACCCCTACTGCACTGAGGCCACACAGGTAGGGAAGGGAGGCGGCCACAGGTGAGTGATACTGAGGACAAGTCCCCAAGGTGACCACGGCCAGCATGTATGCGGCCTTCGGCAGATCTGGACAAAGCCAGGTGGGCAGGACGGGGAGGCAGGGTGGCTTGACTGGGTCGGTGCACCGGGCAGCCCCACATGGCCCTGCAGACGAGCTTTTGGTTCTACCACCCCGCGGGCTCCGTCGTCTGCGGTGTGAATGCTTTGTGTGTCAGCCGGAATGGGAACACCGTTTGAAGATGCTGGCTGGCGACGGTGAGACGGGGGTCTGGGTGATGCTTTGAGAAAACTTGAAAGGCCCAAGCAGCTGGCTGTGAATTCTGCCATCATCCTTCGGGGATAAAACGCCGTGTGTGTGGGCGGCAACGACAGCAGGGTGGGGCCTGAGTGACGGCCGTCGGGGGCCCAGAGATGCGCTAGTGAGGCCAGCAGAGGCTCCCCTCCTGGACAGGGCATGGTCGCTGGTGAGATGCGCTGTGTACAGGAAGCCCACCAGGAGGGCGAGAGCCACCAAGGGCGTGAGGGGCGAGGTTGCCCAGTCCCCGTGGCAGGGAAGGTCCTTCTGGGGACGGGACTGATTCAAGGCTGGTAGGAATTTAGGCGATTGTGACCTTGACCCCGATCCCCGTCTTCATGTCCTCTGCCATATTCCCGCCGGGTTCCCGGAAGCCTGGCTCCGCTCACCCTGATTCGGTGGCTAGAACTGCTCTTGTGATGTCCCCGACAGCCTCTCGCTGCCAAACCAGCGTCCAGGGCCCCTCCTTCTCGGCTGGGGGCAGGAGACACGCTAGCTGTCCTCTGAGCGTGAGGACAGGTTTCTGTTTTCCATCGCCAAAAGTCCACGAAGCCAGGGCTGGCATGGGCTCTGTGGCCAACACTCTCCCGGCATCTCCAGCAGCACCAGGCGCCTAATAGGTGCTCAATAAACGGGCACCGGAGGAAGGCAGTACACAGGCGCATTCTTGAAGGGCTGGCCTCTCTGTCCTGCTGTGAGAGGACATGCTACCATCCGTAGAGCCGGGTCCAGAGTGCCCGTCTGAGCTGAACTCAGCCCCGGACTCATCCAGTGACCTTGGCTTGTCAACAGAAAAGTGGCTTGAGGGAGGGTCCGTGTGACAGGTGGTGGGCACAGAAGCAGCAGGGGTCAGTGATGGGGGTCTTCTGAGGCCATGGTCCCAGTCCCGGCAGCCAGGGGACAGCCAGGTCTCAGCCTCTGAGCTCACTCTACTGCCCCAACAAACAAGGTGACACCCTGGCCCTGCAGTAGCTCTGGGCCTCATCCCTGCCCAGGGCAGAGGCCGGCCCGGGGGAGGGGGTGGGCAGCATTGTCCCTAAAGGCCAGTTTCTTTCTTTTTTTTTTTTTGAGTTGTAGTCTCACTCTGTCACCCAGACTGGAGAGCAGTGGCCGCTCCTGGCCACCGCAGCCTCGACCTGCTGGGCTCCGGCGATCTTTCTGCCTCAGCCTTCCGAGTAGCTGGAACTACAGGCGCGCGCTACCACGCCCAGCTAATTTTTGATTTATTGCGGAGATGAGGTCTCGCCAAGTTGCCCGGGTGGGTCTCGAACCCACGGGCTCCGGCAGTCCACTCACCTCGGCCTCCCAAGGCGCGGGATGACAGGCTGAGCCACCGAACCCGGCTTGGGGCAGTTTCCTTCCAGAGCCAGGCCTGCTCCCTCCCCAAAGCCCAGGCTGTCCTCACCGTGGCTCCTGGGAGCTCCGTGTGCTCAGAGGGAGCACCAGGGCTTGGGCTTAACCGTTGGGCCTCTCTGGGCAAACTATGGGAGAGCCCGACGGGTCAGAGACACGAAGGCCCACTGCCTTCATGTCTGGAAGGGCAAACTTGGTGCGTGCATCAGACTGCCGTGCCGGGAGAGCCCTCCTGGGCCACGCAGCCACACCTGCCGCAGGTGCACGGCCACCCCAGGCTGAGCTGTGAGGACGAGGGGCATTGCGTCCGGCCACACTGTAGGTGGCAGGCGGGGCCAGGCTTGTCGGCTCCGGGAGGGCCCGAGCGGCCCCGTCCGCAGCAGCTGCCCTGCCCTGAGCTCAGCAGGAATGAAAGGCCAGAGCTGCGGGTGTCATCGCCGCTTCCTGGGCTGCCCTAACAAGTCTCCACAACTCGTGGCTGTGAACATCCTCGGCGTGCCTCGTCCCAGTTCTGGAGGCCGGGAGTCCTAAGTCGAGGGGTTGGCAGGGCTGTCCTTTCCCTGCAGGCTCAGGGGAGCGTCCTGCCTGCCTCTTCCAGGTCCCGGTGACTGCACGCGCCCTTGGCTGGTAGCTGCATCACCCTGTCCCTCCTGGCTCCACACGGGCTCCTCCCTCGTGTCTGGGTCTGTCTCTTCTCTTCTTTTGAGTTGGAGTCTCACTCTGTCACCCCGACTGGAGTGCAGTGGCCGCTCCCGGCCACCGCAGCCTCGACCTGCTGGACTCCGGCGATCCTTCCACCTCAGCCTTCCAAGTAGCTCGAACTACAGACGCGCGCTACCACGCCCAGCTAATTTTTTTTTTATTTATTGTAGAGATGAGGTCTCACCAAGTTGCCCAGGTGGGTCTCGAACCCGCAGGCTCAGGCAATTCGCTCACCTCAGCCTCCCAAAGGCGCAGGATGACAAGCTGAGCCACCGAGCCCGGCTTCTTCTCCGCTTCTTACCAGGACACTCGCTGTTGGGTCAGAGCCCACCCGACCCCGGCATATCCTCACCTTCACTTGATTACATCTGCAGAGACCCCATTTCCAAAAAGGGCCACATTCACAGGTTCTAGGTGGACATGACGCTGGGGGACCCTCTTCCAACCACCACAAGCATCATCGATAAGAGGCAAGAAGAGCCCAGGACCCTACTGGCCTGTCCCAGGTGTGGCCGCAGCAGTGGGATCGCTGCCAGAAATGCAGAGTTCCAGGCCGCCCAGTCCAAGGACCAGCTCTGCCTCTGACAGGTCCCTGGGTCAGAGGGTGCAGGAAGAAGGTGCCCAGAGGGGCCTTCCTTGAGTCAGTTTCTGGGGTGGGGGGGTGCTTTTTCTCTCCCAGCGCGCCACAGGTGCTCGGCCAAACCTGTGTCCTCGTCATCCTGTGTCTCGGAGCAGCTCTGAGTCACAGGGGTTTCTGACATCCCTCACAGTGCCTCGTGCCACCCAGCTCAAGAGGGCTTGGCATGCACGGGCGGGCTGGAGACGGAAGTCGGGCGGGGCCCGTGCTGCAGCCTCAGCCCCCGGGCGGCTCTGCCCCAACCTGGCCTGCCTGGGCCTCAGGCCTTCGTCTGTGCTGCGCCGAGGAAAGCTGCCAGGAGATGATAACCCGCCTGACGGCCTCACCAGCCGAGGCGTGGTCAGGGCCGGCCCTGAGCCCCGGTCCCACCCCTCGCTGCCGGTGACCCTGGGCAGGGGGTGGGTGGCCCTGAGCCGCGGCCTACCTGGCTGGGCCTGGAGGGAACAGCGGGCGTGGTGAGCTGCCCACCCTGGGACGAAGAGGCAGGTGTAAAGGCAGGTAGGGCCGGGCGGGGTCCGCCCCGTCCCAGAGAGGCAAAGGCCAGGAGGCCCCAGCGCCCACAGGGAGGCCCCTCCCGGCCCCGCACTCACGTCATGACCAGCGTCTCGTCCCCCGGCTCACTCAGCAGCCCATCGACGAACACCGAGGTGCTGGTGAAGTTGTGCGTGCTCCAGGTGAGGCCCTCGTCCACGCTGAATCTGCAAGAGCGGGAGAAGGTGTCGGCATCCCCAGGGGGTGGGAACGCCCTGTGTCCAGGACTCTGCCCCGCTAGACCACTGCGCCAGCACCAGGTGGTGTCCACATCTGCTCTGCCACGCAGCACCCGGTGCGTGTGATCTGGGTACCACAAAGACACTGCGTACCTCCGAAGGGCCCCGCCCAAGGCCTGAGCTCGGCCCAGGGTGGCCGGGCCAGTGACGGGACCAGTATGCTAGTGCTGTCATCTTGCAGTAGACAAAGCTCTCTTCCAGACTGAAGTGATACTGACTTCTCGGCAGCTGGGCCAGCTCTGCCTCCTGGGCCCCGAGGTCACGGCTGCCTGTGGCTCCCCGTAGGGACCTTCAGATGTCTGAACTGCAGCCCCACCCCTACCTGGCACGTACCTCAGGCTCTCCTGTCTGGGTCACCGTGCTCTGGCCCTCCACTTAATTAATTCCTGTCAAGGCTCAAAAGTCCCCTCCTCCGGAAAGCACTCCCTGTTCCCTGTGCTGTGTTGTCTCTCTGCTTGTGTGTCTCCCAGGGCAGGACAAAGCCCATCTGTGACTCTCCCCGGAAAGGGTTTCCAGAGCTGCCCCCAACTGGAGAGTGCCTGGTGGCCCCAGGCAAGGACCAGGAACAGCCCTGATGGGTTCCAAAGTCAAACCAGAGGAAACCAAAGGGGGCTAGATGGGCTTGGGCTTGGGGAGCATTCTGAGAGGGGTGCCAGGCGGAGAGAGAGCCCTGCCCACTCCCACCCCACGGCCTGCCCGCCTC